GGTGGCTGACTAAGAAGGAAGACGTGGTTCGTGCTTCCATTCTTATTTCAAATTTATAAACTGCTCATGGATTTTCGAACAATGTTTCACAGTTGAGGGCCTGCGTGTCCGTGTTTGCCACGTGTGGCTAAGTATCAAACATATCATTATTTCCGCATTTGTTTGATTATGATATTGACGTTGATTGTATGTGTTTACTAATCGGTTTGGCGATAGAATCAATCAGACGCCTTGTACAATTCAATAGGAATGAACTGTTGTTGTTCTTATCGGGTTGTACGGCGTTTGTCTACGTGGCCCAGATGCAGTCCGAGGTGTGACAGCTTTTCCGAAGGAGACTAAGTCCCTTAGTCGTTTGAGCAGTTTTGTCCAGATGGTGTGGTAGAAAACCTTGGCAGTTCTGGCCGTCAAATACTCAATTACTTACATCAGAAAACTTCTAATACAATTTTTCTAAAGAGTACTCTAATATCGTAATTAGACTAGCATCATCAAAATCTAAATACAATTCATTCCTTACAATAGCACTCTAAATTATTTTCCTTTTTGTAAAAAAAGGAACTGAATAATGACCCGTCCTCCCCTACCCCGCTCAAATGACCCATAGGTTCCTTAAAAATTAAAGTGGACCTGGACTGATCCAAATTGTGCCCGCCCTTAGGAATGAAATCAGACCGTAGGTTTTCACTGTCAACAACGGAATACATTTTCATGTGTGATTCATATTTGCATATGCGCAAGTTACATCTATACAAGATGTCTGTAGTTACATGCGATAATACATGAAGTTATATTTTAATATGCATGATATACATTTTCATGTGCACGAGTCGAATTTTCAAATGCATGAACTATATTTAGATATTAAAGACGCCTCTAGTTATATTTGATCATACATCGAGTTGCATTTCCATATGCATAACTTTCATTTGGATTTGGATTTGCCTCAAGTTACATTTCCATTAACGTCATTTACATTTAAACTTGTCTCAAATTACATTTCAATTAACGCGATTTACATTTTGATTTGTTTCAAAAAGTTACATTTTGCATACACGGGATTTACATTTCTAACTTGTTTGAATTTACATTTCCCAGGCACGCAAACAAACTCACTCGAATAAATAGTCCTTATCTATTTTCTTTCCCTTGTTTGCTTTGTTCTATCATTGGCATTTGTGATTTTCATGTTCATTAATAAAATTTTATTTTTCAATAAAAAATTATAAAAATTGAGAGAATAACCACTAGAGCAAATAATGTGAGTTACATAGAGACTAGGCTACTACACATTCTAATGTCATAAACAATTCAGAATTAAACTCGTATAGCTAAAAACAATAAAATAAAAAATACTTTTTGAATAATATGACAAAGAATTAGAAAAATAAACTATTAGTCGGTGATTTTCATTGTCAAAAGAAGATTGTTATTACTAATAATGGATTAAAAAACAGGCTAAATTTCAATAATTAATAACAAAAAAATAATTTTACAAGATGTAGAACAAAATGTAGTATATTTAAAGGGACTACAAACATATTTATACTGATTTGAGATTTGAATATTTATATGTAACAGAAATCGAATTGTGTTCATTTTAGTACTCTCTCCGTACTTTAATGTTTGCTACACTTTTATTTTTTAATGTATTTAAAAGTTTGATACATATTTCCCTTTGGGAACTATGGACTATATATGATAGTTCAAGTCCTATGACGCCAAGGTCCTATCATAGGAATTCCAAATGGGAGACTACGTCCTCCGGAGATGAGAGGCAAGCAAGCCAACGGAAGGAGGCAAACTCGCGCAAAGTACGAGGGCCTCTCTATCATCAGTGTCGTCATCAAAGCCGGCACTTATGAACTCACACACCCCAAATGGGTCAAAAGTACCACGACCGTGGAATGTACATCACTTGGTGAAATTCTATCAATAATCCTAAGGCGGCGTAGACGGGCAAAGCCCTCACCTCCCAAGGTCAAAAGCTTATTTAAAGGTTATCTCCTTCGCAGATTATTGATAGATTTTCACCCTCGGCCCTGAGTCACTTATTTATGAAAACCACGCTTTCCGCTTTTCTTTTTAGATTAAAGTAAAGGCCGGAAAGCAAATAAGGTTAAGTACCGCCTTGGCCCCCACGGTGAAATATCCAGCAATGGTTGACGGTACTTTAGCACCTCGGACGAAAAGCCTGAAATAGCAGCCTGCGTCCTAACAGGAGTGTCTTACTGCATCATCCTAGCGACAAATGCAGGACGACGGACTTGAAAGAAAAGACGGGGTAACAAAAAAACAAACACTTGTGGTCATTTCCAAGGGACTCACTGCGACGAGCGTAAAAAATTGACCCAAGTCCGGTCGTAACGGTTAGATCCGGGAAAGCCCCCATGTGCGGGAAAACCCAATAGCCAAGGGGCGACAAGTCTTCCCTCCGGCGGAATCCAAGATGGATTCCACAACTCTGGCTAACGAACCACAAGAAAGCAAGTAACGGGTAAGACCCAAAGGCCGGGGGCGACAAGTACCCCTTCGGTTAAACCCAATATGCTCTCAACTTCTAGCTCCAAGGAGTAAAGAGAAATAAAAAAAAAAGAGGGAGGTCGAGGGACCCCTAGCACGAGAGGCCTCGAGCTAAAAGAAAAAAAAACCCAACAAATGCCTAAAAAGGCTAATTACATATCGGTAACATGTTATCATGCAAATGACCAAGTACAAAAGGGTGGCGGTACTTGAGCCTTGAGGCCAAGGCAAGCTCAACTCACAAAAGTGGACCCGGACTAATCCGAATTGTGCCCGTTCTTAGGAATGAAATTGAAGCATAGGTTTTCATTGTTCATAACGGATTACATTTCCATGTGTGATTCACATTTCTTTATGTGCGAGTTACATTTATACAAGATGTTTATAGTTACATGTGATGATACATGAAGTTATATTTTAATATGTGTGATATATATTTTCATGTGCACGCACGAGTTGTATATTTAAATCCGTGAACTATATTTAGATATAAAAGACGCCTCTGGTTATATTTGATCATACATCGAGTTACATTTTCATATTCATAACTTGCATTTAAATTTCGATTTGTTTCAAGTTACATTTTCATTAACGTCATTTACATTTAAACTTGCATCAAGTTATATTCCAATTAACACGATTTACATTTTGATTTGTTTAAAAAACTTACATTTTGCATACACAAGATTTACATTTCAACTTGTTTCAAACAAACTCACTCGAATAAATAGCCCTTATCTATTTGATTAATCAAGTTGAGTGAGGATAAATGATCCGTGTCACAAGAAGACAAGAATCAACCATGCTGCCCCAGTCAAGTGGAACAAAACAAGTAGATCAAGCAACGATCAAAATTGGATCACTCGGCCAACGGAGAAGATTCAATGACAAAGTCTATAAATACAGAAGGAGTGCGGGAAGACCAAGTGTGGCACCAGATGACAACAAACTCTGGTATATTGGAACTCGGTTGAACCGAAGGGAATCAAGGTTCACACTAACACATCCAGCTAGTTGATTCACCTTCACCACTCTGGTTACCACCCCATTCATCTAATGCTCTTAGAATAGCTTATAATTCATACACATCTATAGAGCTTAGATTAGTTGGTAGACTAGCTTATACCCATGTAAACTAGTCTAATGTATACATTCTGGTATGTGTGTGATCATCCAGAAGGTGAGGCAAGGACATGAGTAGCTTCTGGCTGGGCAATGCCATTAGTGAAAAACCTTGGAGGACATGAGTAACTTGGAACAGTCTGGTTGCTCATTAAAAACCTCACAATCTACGCCAGGGCCAGGGCTAGATTGGGCACTAAATGTAATGGGATATTCATTTAGTGGAAATCAATCTGAAATAGGTTGGGACTGGATGTAGGAGGATTACACCACCTCTGAACCAGGATATATCTTGTGTGCCTTTTACATTCAGCACCCAACATATACTTCAGTTCTCACTCACCTTCATACTATCCCAAAAGCTTGCATATTCACTGTACAGAAAACTCCCTAAAGTTTTTTGTGAATCAAAACTCCTTACCTACGTACTTCAAAGAGATCTATGTCAATAGGTCTAAATCCTTCACACAAAGGTGTTCTGTCCAACCATCTCTGTTACAACTAAAAGGGTCATAACCTTTGTTCCTATAAAGTGTCACACTCTTGAGGTCAAGACTTCCGCTGTATGTTTCAATATCTCCCAAAAGATATTGGAACACATTCTGTTTTAGGAAACAAGGGTTAAAAAAGAAAAGATTTTTATAAGTCTATTCACCCCACCTCCCTCTAGACTTCTACCTCACTTGGGACTATCATAAACTTACTGGGGGGTAAATTTTACTGTTTTGACAATGTTGAGACCAGGGGCGGAGCTAGGACAACAAAGAAGGCTGGGCCGGATTCCAACTAAACTTCAAGACAAAATTTTTAAGTAATAAATATAGTAATCAAATTAATTAAAGTCTATCACAAAATTTGTTACTCCAAATGGAAGTAACAGGTCTACAGAAAGAACGCAAAGTACCTTTGGTTTTCTTGGAAGGAGGCTGTTGAGTAGCCATGATTTTTGTCTACAATCCAAATATTTTTAACACATTTAAAAAAATAGATGATATTAAAAGACTTAAATTGCATAGCAATTTAGTTAGAAAACATTAATTTTTTTCAACACTTCAACAAATATAAACAAATCACATTAACTGATTAACCTATATTAATATGCATCACTAATTGAGTATATCACTATGGAGTATATCTCAAAGATTCACTAATAGAACATATTATATATACACATAATCACAAATTCACATTTTCACAAAATCACCATTCACCAATTCACCTAAAATCTCAAATTCACATCAATTTATAATTAATGTAAATACACTCCAAAATCACCATACACTCAAGATACAATCTTGCATCAAAATATATTAAAAACTGAATATATAATTCATGAGTTAAGGTTAGAAAATTAACCTCAATATCTTAAACAATAGCCAATGAGAGATTTAAGAATGGACTGCTTTTTGGGAGCTAAATCCACCGCCACAGACCCACCGTTGGCCGACCTCAGGGATCCAGCGGCTGGTGACGCGCTGTGGTGCCTCTTCTTTGGTCAGTTCGCACTGGAGAAGTTGGAGCGAATGGAGCTAATGGAGCGGTGGTACCTCTGGGTCGATTCTTGCTGCTTGTTTACATGTTGCACGCATAACTTGGGATGGACTCGGGTCCGGGCCGGGTGGCCTGACCCGGAACCGGCCCGGGACCGGTACTGTTCCGGCCCGGCCCGACCCGGTGGCCCGGTCAGTGACCGGTCCGGGTAGGCCCGGCCCGTGGGTTTTCCGGTCCGGACTCGGGTCACCCAAAACAAGGCCCGACCCGGCCGGACCCGGGCCCGATTCGGGCCAAAATCTATTTTTTTTCAATGCTTTTTCAATTTTCGGGTTGGGCTGGGTATTTTGGGCCATTTGGGGTGGTTTGGGGGGTTGGGGGTGGGAGGGGGGGTTAATTAGGAAGAGGAAAATAAAAAAAATGATAATGGGCCCGGCCCGGCCCGGACCCGGACCGGACCCGGTGGTTACCCCGGCCGGTCCCGGGTCCACCATTTCTGAACCGCCGGCCCGCCCGGGCCTAGGCCTGGCCCGGACCCGAGTCCATCCCTACCCTCAGGGCTTGTTTCCTTGTTGCACTCCCTCAGGGCTTGTTTCCTTGTTGAGTTGTTGGTTAATTGGACACTGGGCCAAGTTTATTTTTGTTATGGCCTGTTCTAATTTTTTTATATACTATACCTACAATTATTGGGACCTACCCTGGGCCAGGGCCCTGTATGCCCCCCCCCCCCCCCACCTCCGTCACTGGTTTGGACACTGTTTGGACACTATTTAGCTTTGTTTGACACTGTTTTGATGTAGATAATTTGTCAAATAAGGAAGTGAGAAGAAGTGTTCAGTTAATTTTGGGACATCCATTTAAGAAATGTGAGAAGTTATTTTTTAGACGGAGGGAGTACTTTTTAATAATATATCACAAAGAATTAGAAAAAAACTACTCCGTATTAGTTAGTGGTTTCATTGTCAAACGAAAATTGTTATTACCAATAGTGGAATAAAAAACAAGCAAAATTTCAAAGATTAAAAACAAAAAATAATTTTACAGGATGTAGTACAAAATGTAATATATTTACAGGGACCACAAACATATTTAAATATAATTATACTGATTTGAGCTTTGAACACTTATATGTAACATAAATCTAATTGTGTTCATTTTAGTATTCTCCATATTTTAAATTTTACTACGCTCTCTTTATTTGAACGTTTTTAAAAATTTGATACATTTTACGTTTTGATAATTTTCTTGCTTTAAAAATATTCAATTACACTTACTTTTTGTATTGTTTATCTTTTTTTCATAGTTTTTCATTATATCTCCTACTTTTTTACGGTATTCATTACACCTACTATTCCACCGCTAAATGATGTGCCCAAAACTATTATAGAGAACTTTCAAATACAGAGAGTCAACAACAACAACATCCAAGCCTTAGTCCCAAAAGATATTGGGGTCGGCTAACATGAATCGATACATGATATCACAACCAAAAGGAAAAGAAGGAATAAAGATAAAAAGATAAGCTATTATGAAAAGATAATATAAAAAAGATGAATATATATAAAAATGATAAAATAAAAAGGCTGCAGATAATGCATATATATATATATATAAGGATAAAAAAAACTAGGAAAAAAAAGATGAGGGAAAAAGATTATCAAGATCACTCCTTCACGTGAATACCCGCCCTCCACTTAGTTCTCTCTAAAGTCATGCCCTCATCCAACCCCAGAAGAAGCATATCACTTCGAACTCCCCTAACCCACGTCTGTTTGAGTCTTCCTCACCCTCTCTTCCCTGCCTCTTCTCCACACATCTCAACTCGCCTAACAGGTGCATCACTCGGTCTTCTACGCACATGACCAAACCACCGTAGGCGCAACTCCCACATCTTTTCTTCAAATACAGAGAGTATATAAAAAAATGAAAAAGCCCTTTTAGTGACTCTAATTTTCAGCTTATCAACCTACTTTTTCACAAAATAGGTAACTTCTAATTTCACGCGTTGAGATGTGTACTAATCAAAATAAGTAGATTTAAGATTACTTTTCTTACTGGATTTTTTGAAATATTTTTTCCTTTATATTATTAATAAAACATACTCCATATTTAAATACGAAGTATAATTTTTTTTAAATTTACCAAAATTGGCCAATCTAACCACTTCAATCACAACTTCATAATTTTTACCGGAATCGACTGAGTCAGCCAATTTTAGGGTTACCTAACGGAATCATCTTGTTAAGTTCTAAAACGGTTCTGCCAAATTTAATTAAAAGAAAATTGATCTCAGATTTTGGGACGTGGGTTTAGGGTTGTCTCAACCTTCAACTTATAAAATAAAAAAGCAACAGTACTCAAAGGGGATGCACTGGAAATATGAATATTGATGCACTCCATTTTCACGTTGCATTAAATAGAACTTCACCAATCGACTTTCCCGCTGGTCAGTCATCAACAAGCGAAATCTCGGGCAGTTTTGAAATCTTGATCAAATTATTAGTTACTTGGAATTAAATTAAATAAATAAGACCTGAACTAAACAGGAATCAGATTTGTTCTGCGAATTAGCTGCTTTGATGAACAAAGAAGAAACCAAAACACAAAAACAATAAAAGTCACACATTTGTTTGCCAAAGTTGGCGAGTTCCTTAGAAGACTACTCGGCCGGGCTCTGCAAAAGTCCAAGCCTTCTGGATAATGTGAATTAACTCGAACACATTTTTTTAATGTTTCCAGTGATACGAGTACATAATACAACCAAGATCAGGGCTAGATGCAACCCTATTTGAGTTACCAACCCAAAAATTCTCTAATATGGCTAGATGTACAGGCTCCAACATTATAAAAGCGCATCTGGATAATGTGAATTCACTCAATTCCTGAAATAATGGGATCATCAAGATTCCCAATTTCAAGAGTGAGCATACGGTGTGATTCTCAGGAATGAGAGGACTCTACGGAGTCGAGTGTCTAAACAAATGAGACCGAAGTTTTACAAATGTTTCAATTGTTTTCATTTTGTTTTAGAAACCTATAGTATAAGGTACAATGTATCCCACCTCACAAAATTTTCACCAGAGCTCAAGCACAAACGAGTCTCATAACTTACTTGGTTTGCTCGTTTACTTCCGGCTGCTGTTGCCTTGGAACAACTCATTTATTCGAGCTTCAAGCTCCTCCACGGTATACCTGACATGCTTGTCAGCAGCAGCATGCTTCCCATAATCCGGAGTGCTATATAGCCTTCCAATGAAGTTTCTATAAGCAGGAGAAAGAGTCTCCGCCACAGAAATCCTCAACTCCTCTCTCAATTGTTCGTCGAAAACCACCCATGATGTTTGGGCTTTACATATGTCCTCAAAGTAGGAATTGAATAACTTAAGCTTCTCCTTCAAAGTTTTTGATGCTTGACTAGGTGACATGGAGCTGTCCATCTTCAAAACTCCTTGTACTTTGTTCCAAGAACTTCTTTTATAATTCACATGATACTGTCTAACTTTAGCTGTGTGTTTTCTGATCCAATCGTCTCCCAAAAGTGTCCCTAGTTCACTGTCTTTAGCCTTCTGATTGATGTATCTCCCATTGTTCATCAAGAAAATGGACGACAGAGCAGAGTCTCTGTATATTTTTGACTTCGCCTCCAAGTTACTCTCCAGTAATTCCATAATCCACACCATTTGAACTGCCAAGGATGAGGAAGATGAAGGTGATGACAAGTCGAGAGAACTAGTAGGCGGGGTTAGGGTTTCTTCGAAGACTTGTTCAAGAGTGAGCCTTGATCTGCAAGCTGCCCGGAGATAGTTCATAACATATCGTGTGATTGGGTGGAGACCACCACCAGGTACAGCAGACTTTGCTGGGTCACGACGGATCAGATTCTCCAACTCCATGAAGATCCTCTTGATTGATTCGCCCAACCTCTTCCAGATGGTGAATGCTTCATTTCTCATGAACAGACAGTACTGGTCAGAGAAGAGCAATTCGAACTCCGGCAACAGATCTCTTAGGGTTTCGTAAACATCGAGTACCTTGAAGAGTCTTTCTGGTGCTCTGCTGCCGATCGCCACTGCATCTGCGAAGTTGAGGAGTTGAATGGCGGAGCTTCTGCAGACCTCCATGAAGGATAGATCTGCGGCGGAAGAAAAGCCGAAGAAGACGCGATCGCAGAGGCGGCGCTCGCTGGGGAAGAGAATCCGAAGGGAAACGTTGACGGCTTTCATCCACCTCTCGATCTCATCTTCTAGCTCCGTCCACTGCATTTTCTGCACTTCGTCGATGCTCAGCTTCTTAATACCCAGCCTCGCAAGGCTCTCCTCTAAGAAGTCCCTCCGGCAAGTGCTATACGCGTGGGAGCACTCCTTCCCGTACCCTGCAGCCACCATCCGCTTCGCGATCTCGTGCAGATCGCTGATAGTCCCCGCCGGCAAAGCGTCTATGATAATGTCGTAGTCAGAAATCGGATGCGCCACCGGGATCTCCCCGTCTTCATCATCATCAGCTTCCTCCGAGTCCGACGAGTAATCCTCGTTCGCGGACTCACGGGTCCTGTAACGGGTCAAATCAAACGACTCCGACCCGCGTTCCATTAGGGTTTTAAACTCGTCCTCGAGACGGAACATCGCCTGCTGGAGCAAATCCTCCGCCCGATCCAAGCAGGACGAAACCTGCTTCTCGTTCCCCATCGGCGTCCATTCTCGAATCGCAGATATCAAGTGATCCACAGCTTCCAGAAACGCGACAGAATCAGCAGAATCGGACCAAACCGGATGCTCCACCGACACGTACCGCGAGATCTGACGATCAAGAGACTTGAGGGTCCGCTCCAGCGCGGCGCAGCCACGAGAGTCGTCCTCGGAGAGCTTCTCCCTCAACCGGCCATCGAAGTTGGAGAAAATCTGAAGAATGTCATCAGTCATGGTATCAGTGTGACCCAGAGTCTTTGCTATGTGCCTGGCCACCGCTATCAGCTTCTCCTCGCCATTTTCCGCCATCCCCACCAAGGCAAAAACAAAAAAGACAGGTTTTTCAGAATTGGGTTTTCGAGATTTGGTTATTCGCGGAAGCAAGCTCAAGACTAGCTAGCTAGGACAGTTCTGGGCAGAAATGAAAATTCTAGGAAGGAAAGGGAAAGAGACTGTGGGTGGGCGGGCCCACGCGTGAGACATCGGGAAACGCGGTTTCTGCAAAAGACAAGAAGTCTTCTTGGCTGTTGGGCAATTGACAGAGTTACTAGAAGAAAAGTAAAAGCGAGAGGAGGAAGGAACGGGTAAAGAAACGCGACAGGCGGACAAAGCCGGCGAAAGTGGGTGGGTGAGACTTGAGAGAGACGAATCTAATGGATAGGAAACCAGATTTTCAGACTCAGTTCATGTGAAAGAATCATGACTGCCAAAAGTTACTCTCCTTGGTTAATACGGAGTAAAAATATACGAGTATAAACATGAATAATTAATACTTCTACTTCCTTCCTCCCTTACGCTGCGTTCTTAATTGCCTCCCTCTAGGGTAAATTTGGTTAAATCGTCTGTGTTTGTATCCTTGAAAATATCATTCTCCTGTTCCTGAAACGAATGAGTGTCTTGTGATTCTCGGTAAAATGGAAAGTGTGAAATTGGCCAGTGTTCCCTTTCTCAGTTCCAGAAAATTATTCTCACTTTGACTTGGTACGGAGATTAAAAAAATAAAATAAAGTGGAAATGTGTGGTTGTAGTTGTGTAACAAAAAAGTGAAATGAATGTGAACCACACAAATTATCCAAAAAAGGTACGTAGTAAATAGGAAAAATTTTTTAGGTCAAAAAGGAAAGTGAGAAGAATTCTATGGGACGGAGAGAGTAACTCAATATAATTACTTCTCAGCTTTTTTCCAAATGAAAATTCAATATAATTACTGATATAATATCCTCCGTATCACATTAATTGCAAAATTTGAATATATACACTATTCATGTACTTTATTTTGACTACATTTTATTTAATAATGTATGTGAATTATTATTTTTTGAAAAATATTGTTAAATTCGTCTCATTACTAAGTTTTATAATATGATTTTTATTATATTTTTACTAATAAAGAATTAAATATAATGATGGTCAAAGTTGTGCATTGTCAAACGTAAAATGTTGATCGTTGCAACTAGAGAGACAGGGGAGGAAAAGTGATTGCTTTTAGAGTGATTAATTATTTGCTTTTATGACTTGACTTATCATACACGGAGTACTCCGTAAGCATTTTGAGTAAAATTATAATCAAAGATTGAATGTAAGATTGATCATAACTTCTTCCTCATCATTTTTATCAATAATTTAATACTACCCCCGTCCTTTAAAACTTTGTCAAAGTTGACCGGCACGTAGAATAATAAAGTAAAAACTGTGTGGTTGAGTTTTGTGCAGATGAGAGAGAAATAACAGAAAACACAAAATAATAGATTAAAAGGGAAAGTGACAAAGTTTTTTGGGACATCCCAAAAAGGAAAGATGACAAAGTTTTAAAGGACGGATGAAGTATTCAATAGTTTCTTCGCATAAGCTAGTAGACCAGGGGAATTGGGTTGTCGTTCTCCCGTGTTATCTGTTCGGGTTTCCCCCTTACCTGTGTTCATAGTTACGTCAGCGCAAGTAGACCATTGGGCTGGATCTAGACTATGTTTGGCAGGCATAAGTCTCTACCTTCTAGCTTTTGTACTCTTCAAAAAGTCTCTAAAAGCTTCATGTTATATGTTTGGCATGATAATTTTTAAGAGCTTTTCAAAAATTAAAATATCTTTTTTGAGATGCTACAGGGAGTAGCATCTGAAAAAACCCGTGACTTTTAGTGTTTATTAGTCTTAACAGCTTGTATACCAAACCGAACTAAATCAAACAGTCAGCTTTTTACCAAACAACCATCACATTTTCTCTTGAAGATCTTTTCAGTCACTAAAAACTAACAGTTATTAAAAAGCTCACAGAAGTATCTTTTCACCTAGTTGTGTCAAACATACCCCTAATATTGCTTGTTGAGCCAAAATCCCAACAATTTTAATTTTTTTCCAGTTCAATTTAGTTTGAATACAGTTCGATTTATTTTGATTAGATTAGCGGTATTTTTAATGATCTTTTCAATGACTCATTGACAAAAGTTGTAAATAATGAATTCAGCTTGAATTCTTCTATCCTCCTATCAAACATACGGAGTATTTCATAAATAGTGAAAGGTACTCATCGTGAAACTCAATAACTCCGATTGACAAAAGTTGTCTAAGAGCCCGTTTGATAACACTAAAATTGGCTGAATTGGCTGATTCTGTTGAAACTTATGAAGTTATGTCTGAAGTGGCTGTATTGGCTTATTCTGCTTATTCTGTATTGGCTGTATTGGCTTATTCTGCCCATTTGTTGTTAATAAATTAAATAAAAAATTATATAAAAAAATAGCTAAAATGATCCTCTACAGTAACTTCACCCAATACAGCCAGAAAAGTAACTTCAACCTTACTTTTTCTGCTTATTACAAAGTGCAGCACGCGAAATCAAAAGTTACGTATTTGATAAAAAAGCTGACCGATAAGCCTGATAAACCGAAAAAGGGGTCACCAAACGGGCTCTAAATGAATTCTACTTCATTCTTTCGTATTTGCTCCATAATGTCCTCACAAGAATGTAGGCCATTTTTCTATAATGTCTTTTACATGAAACTTGATTAGTTTTGTTTGGAATTGGTTACAAAAACATATACTCGGGTGATGGACGTAACATCATTCTCATTTAAGATTGTGAGATTGGTGGTACTACAAATATAATAAGGAGTACTCCTTCCGTCCCAATTTGATTTGCAATTTTTTTTTCGTTGTCCCAAAATGATTTTTCACTTTCTATTTTAGGTATGTGAATAAGAAATTGATAAATTTACCCTTACTTTTACTTTTTCCTCATTAACTTAAAGACATCTACGTTTAGAAAGACAGACAAAAGTGTAAAAAGTAAACATCATTTATTGTCATTCCTTAATTCTTGTGTCGGTCAAAGTTTTCAATTCAATTCGGAACGGAGGGAGTAGTTTTTTATCGCAATATTTCATACTCTTTTTCTCCTTTTTCTTCCACAAAGTCTATTTTGAGTTATTTCTTCTCTAACACAAGATAATAGTCCATCTAAAAACACAATCACCCACATAAAACATGACAAATCAAATCTTATTGAAATAATATACAGACAACTATCAAATAAGTCCTCGAACTTATATAAAAAGTGCAAATAAGTCCTTTTATAAGAGGCTCTATCCGGTCATCCCCATTTGGGGCGGTTTCCGGTGGAATGTTTTGATGAAATTTTTTGAGCATCTTCTTCATTAAGTCTAGTTTACACATACCAAATTTCAGCTAAAACTTCAACCGAGACGGCAGTCAAATGATTTTCTGAAATATAATGCGCTGTTTAACTGCGTACTTATCTTTGAAAATTCATTTGAGTGCCTTCCCGATTGAATATTTAGCTGAAATTTGGACGGTATGAGTAAACTAGACTTAATGAATAAGATGCTCAAAAAATTTTATCAAAAAATTCTACCGGGAACTGCCTCAAATAGCGACGACCGGACAGAGCCTCCTATAAAAGGGCTTATTTGCACTTTTATGTAAGTTCGAAGGCTTATTTGATAGTTCTCCCAATAATATACTACGTAAGAAGTTACACTTGAAATGTGTAAAAATAACTTTCCGCCACACATTAAAGTGTGTCACGAATACGAACTTATCACTAGCCAAGCAATAGCAATCCACATTTTTTTCTCGAGATTGGCAAATAGAATGTAGTACAATCATTATTCAATCTCAGACTTATACAGTTTCTAAGTATAAGATTATTTCTGAAGATGTTAACATTAATTAAACCATAAAAAATTAATAACCATTTAATAAAAATATGATATAGTACTCTAGAAGTGGATCAAGAAAGTGTGAAGTTGACTTGATTAAACTAGGGAAACATTTACAAGTAGTATGATGTATCCTCATTTGACCTAAAACAATACAAACATGACCTACACACAACATGAATCTAAGCAAAAATAGTAACAATAATAGTCCAAAAGTGAAATCACACCTAATTCAAAAAGAGGCACTTAGAAAATTGGGATCCAGCAATTTAATTTGTATCCCACAAAACCATGCTAATTGGGGGAGGGGGTAATTAGATCCCAGGTTCTATCAAATAATCATACTGACCTAGAATAAATGTTAGTAGAAGATTATCTTGTCATGTATGAGACTATGAACTTGAAATCAACATAATAGTTATTGTGAGATGACACACTAAGTTTCACATCTAAGGAGCACCGCTAGATATAGAAATACTCCGTAACATCTAAGGTGTAGTCCGATGGATGACCATCCACCCCCAAGTCTCTCCTTTGTGCGAGGTCTTGGATTCAATTCCCCCCAAGGCTCCCAATGATCCGCTACGCGGGCGACCTGCGAACACGAATGTCGTCCGAAAAATCTATCATTCAAAGATACAGTCTAATTTTGATTTCATCCCGTAAGGTTCAAAGGATAACATAGCGGATCCGCTAACCAAGGCATTGGATAGAGAATTGTTAGAGAAGTTGTCACGAGGAATGGGACTAAAGCCCGTGAATTGAAAAGTTCTATAGTGGATACCAAACCTAGTTGGTCCTAGGTTCAAAAGGGACAACTAAATTATAGAGCGAAGGATGGTCACTGTGGGGGTCCCAGACTCCTACCCACTCCTCGTTAAAACAGTGACTCCCGCACGAGGTTAGCAAAAACGTTTGCTTTAATGATTCTAAAATGTTGATCTACTCGATAACATTGGAAGAGTATGCGGGATACTCGTGAAAGAATCACCTATGTGAGAGAGAAGAGGGTCGCTTCAAAGGAGAACTGTAAAGGCTCGGTTCTTTAGAAACTCTTGCAGAACCAGGACGGTGACCCATGGCCAAAACGGGCACACCCATGAGAACGGAACAAAGTTAGAAGGTTCTTGTGTAAAGATAAGTCAATGTTAACACGACGGCAGTATAGTTCAAGGACATCGAGTCTACTAGACAGTCAGTAAATAAACGTGTCTTTACAACGGAAGGTTCAAAGGATAAAACCAACCTCTCCGTATGCAAGGATCATCCGGTGAACACAACGTGTCCTCCTATCTTCGTGTCTTTTTAAGTCTCGAAAATCAATTTTCATTCATGTGGGGAATTGTTGGGAAAATGTGTTCAAAATTGCATTAAATGGTCATTTTGGGGTAATTATTTGAGTGGGGTCCACTTCCGATTTGGGTCGGGTCAAAGTGGTTTCGGATTGTCCTTGTTAAGGGCTACAATTCGATATATGGTACGCTCAAAACGGATAACGGGTGAATGAGAAATTGATTCTCGAAGTTCACTCGTTGAAATGGAAAAACTGAGAAAATGATAGGTTTCTAGTGTGTTTTATCCCACACCGAAAAACTCAAGGGATTTTCACCCCCTTATAAAGGGAAGCCTCTTTTAAGGAATTAAGATTCCTAAAGGTAAAGGTTCTCTCTTACGCGCAGGGGGGGTGCCGATCAAATCCCGAAACTGAGAAGAAACACCGCGACTCGTGTGCGCGGGCGACCTGTGGACACGAATGTC